ATAAATTGATTTTAATTAGAATCCAAGGGTGCATTTGTTTGTGAAAAGTATGCAATCATAATGACCATCAGTTAATTAAAAATCCCATAGGTGTTGAATTTCCAGAATACACAGACTGTATGTTTTTTTCCTTTAAGAATTCTACCCAAATGTGTGCTTGGCCTTCTGGCTGTTTTATGATATTAGAATATATGATGAATATGCATTTTTAGATGCATCTTTAACTCGATGAAATAAGTATTTATAATGTGTGTCTCAAAATATACTTTTCCGTTTGTTAGCTTGTTAACTTGTTTGTGTGAAAGAAATCCCAGGTCTTCACAAAATTTGAACCATTTTACCACACCAAATTTAATATATGCAATTCAGTCATTTCTTTTACACCTGCGGATAACAGTTAGCTATTGTCAACTTAACCCTCTTAACCACAATACTTATTGGACTGATTCAATCATAACATCTAAACAATGACATGAATTCAGTAGGTAGTAAATCCCAATGGTAATCAGAAAGATACAAAAATTCTTTTAAGAAAACGCAATTTGTGCTGTGTATGAGGTATGCATTTGGGACTAGCGAGTTCTGAGAATAAACACATCCAAATCGTTCAATGCATTTGTCTGAAGTTTTTTATTTTGGCCTTAGAACATGTTACATATGAATAAGTATGGGTGCTCTGTAAAGCGCAACACAATCTATGACCTTAATTAAATATGTAGATTCATAATAATTTGTCTAAGTATTCTGATTATAGTTTTATCAGGGTTTAAACCCATTTATGATTGCTAAAGCATTTAGAACTAAAGTAACATTTGTTTTTGACCTAGAATAATGTCCCCTTTCAAAAGTAGTTCAAATAATATGGGAGCTATATGCTATTGCCAAAGCATAATTCTTATTTGGCCAGATATTTAAAGGAATAAAGTTTTAGAGGAGAATTAATACGGTAGAGAGCTGACAATTTTACAAATATAGGCCTCATTCAGAATAGTGGACTAATGATCTGTTTCAAAATTGTTACCTTCCTTTCCCAATATATTATACACCATTGAGAAATGCATTGGTTAAGAACTTATAATACTTATAAAGTACAAAGTGTACACAATAGTTTATTAATAATGGCAACTAGAAAAGCACTAAGAGACCGCAGACCTCCACTAAGGCAGCAGAGTGTCCATCCAATGCCATTTCACTCCTAAATTTTCATTCTATAATGATTTAGTTTTTTATTATTGATTGATTATTGATCCAGTTCACCACCAAAAACTAATCACTTCTAAGTTAACCCATTTCTGACCTACTCTGAAAATGCCATCGAAATATATCCATAACTTTTTAGTTATGATGATGACAAACAAACAAACAAACAAACAAACAGGGGTGATAAAACATAGCCTCCTTGGCAGAGGTAATGATATTCTTTACAAGAAAACTAACACTTTTTGATAATAATATAATAATAATATATTTATTTCAAGTCTAAAATCCATAAAATGTTCAATAGACTGTACAACATAAAATACAAAGAAGTTTATAGATAAAAATGGTTAAGATATATTTTATATAAATAAGAGCTAAAGTAACTTAATTGTAATAAACAGTAATTAAAAGTAAAAAATCCAAGGTTTCTTTAAAATTGTAAAATTTAAGATTCATGAATAAAATGTCTTAAAAATATGAGTTTTTAATTCCTTTTTAAAAGATTCTTGTGATTCTATTTGTCTAATAAAAATTGGCAACTTATTCCACTCTACTGGTGCAGCTACACAAAATGATATGTCACCATATGATTTTAACCTTGATTTTGGAACTTTCAGTAAAAGTTTGTCACCGGACCTCAGGGATCTTTGAGGGCTATAATGTTTTATTATTTTATTTCATATTCCTTTTATTATACCAAGCAGAATGCAAGCCCAAGGACTCTGTTTGGTATATTACATGCTTTAAAATATATGGCAAATGAAATATACAAGCACACACTATTATTTACTATTGATCAACTTCCTGGCAAATAAGAACTGTCAACAGTCCCTTGATATTACAGCATGCCAATAATCAGCATGCCAATAATCAGCAAATAGTGGAAAATACCAAGGTGTTAACATGTTATGGACTATCTTGATATACATAACTTCATTTGCTTTTTGGCAATCTTCAACAAAACACATGCAGGGTGCTTCAAACTGATAAAAACTTACCATACAAAAAGTTGAAGTGTTAAAACACAGCATAGACACAGAAATGATGAAATAGATATGGAATTGAAAGATTATCATATCATATCAATTACGAAATTAGATGTGCACTGCCTAAAACTCTAGTCTAGGAGTAAACTATTTATTATGTCAATCACATATCATCATTCAGTTGTAATCTGTTATATCTCCTTTCAAGAGAAAATGCCTCCTGCAAATCAGAGTACCAGTACATGTGTTTAATGTGTGTTCCTTTTTCCTTTTTTTTCTCTATTATTGTGCATATAATATATATGCATGATTAACTGACTATTGACATTTTTTCAGAGTTAAAAGAGCTTATCTCTGTATACTGGCACATACACAGAACCCAAATGTAAAAACAATTAAACACATTGATTTGAAGGTAAAATGTGTATTAGACACCTTAGGATACACATATATACAATCTACATTGTATAAATTAATTGATGCTTTAGAAATGGATTTGGTTTATTAAGTGGAAAACAATTAGTGTAACAAATGGCTGTGCATGAATATCTTTTCAAAAAGAGTAAGATAAAATGTGATTAAATAACAAAATCAGTGGCCATGGATCAAGTTCAGAGGAAAAAATGTTTTAATAAAAATAATTTAATTGTATTCACCATTATTATATACCCCTGTATATTGAATATTATCAATTATGTTAATTAGAACCTACATTTTCATAATGCTTTATAAATTGCTCTATGCTGGTCACTTTATTAAACAATGCTACTCATTTTATATTTGGAAAAGTAGGAGTGTAAATTCTATGCAGGTTCAAAGCTCATACAATATAGACTCTACATGTGTGGTGTATTAAAATGGGCACTTTTTACAAGCATTGATGTGTAGTTTCACTTCTGGTTGGAATGAAAAAAAAAGTTCTACTTTGTGCATATTTATTAAATCCTATTTATTAATAAACTTTGCATTACTAAGAATGCAGGTAATCTGTGTTATCCACTTCATATAGTACTTGAGAGAGTATTACTTGCCTGGAAAAGCATTACTAACCTGAGAGGGCAATACTGGCCTGATATGGCAATACTGGCCTGAGGGGACACTGCTGTTTATATATGCCAATTGTAAACCAAACATGGCTCCCACGCACTATAGTTGCCGATCTAGAAAACTCAGCTGTAACATACTCAATTCATTACAACATCGTTATCAAAGGTCATGATGTATATAATATGGTCCAAGTTATCCAAATATTACAGCAACTTGTCAAGGACATCGAGAATTGGTAAGTTATAGTGAGGTTTTCGCCTAGCAACTTCTGGTTTTCGCGGTTTTCGCAGTTTTCGTATTTTCGTAGGACCC